ATGCCCTGCGGCTCTTCAACTTTGAAATAGTTGTCAGGGCCCTGTGGTTCTTTATCTACGAATAAGTTGTCAGTACCCTGCACTTCTTTAGCTATAAATTTGTTGTCTGGGCCCTGTGGTCTTTCAGCTATGAAGTAGTTTTCAGGGCCCTGTGCTTCTTTAGCTGTGACTCAATTACCCCGAGTTCTGACTACTAGCTAGCTATGGATAGCTATTAAAATTATTAAAAAAAACACCAGATTATATCAATGCACTACATAATCTAAGGAAAATTCTTACCTAGGGGAAAGAAAACAGTATTACTAGCCAGTAGTAATGGACTATTTCTGGAAGCTTGTACACTATTTTAATAGATGTACATGTATTATGTACGCCATATGTATTTTACATATATCATGTCCAATTGAAGTACATGTATATGATATGCACCATAAATCAGAAGTTGAAAAGTACATAAACATTCTATATATCACTGAATGTAAATACCTTGTCGTGTATATCATTACAGGTATAAATAAAGTGCAGATTGAAGGAAATATGAATTCTCCAGATAGATGTTAGGTATATCTGAACATAATGTTTTAGCCCTAACAATCTGATTCCAATACTTGTTATAGACCTTGTGTAAAGTGATTTTTCACCAGGTGGGTAGTCAAATACTTTGGTAATTGTATTACCTCTGATCCCCAAATAACTCTGAATTTATTCGGCATTCACTGCCGACTGAGGATTATCTAGGGAATTTAGTAATCTCTTGACATTTAGAAATAAAAGTCTTAGGTGAGGGACACTAAATAGGAGGCATAGAACAGTAGGTTAAGTTAGGAGTGCGGATCAGGGAGCTATAAAGGAGATTAACATGATAATGGATTAACCAGATAATCTATAAAAACTTGTCACGGATCGCGATCACTGTGGCGAAAGATCATGTCACAACTCACTGACATTCATGTTCCAAGGCTTTTTAATCTCCACTCATTCATACTGTTTAAAACACCTGCTTTTCAGTCCAGGTAATCGAAGCTAGGATTACAGGTAGAAAAAGGGGAAGTGGTCCCTTTAACGCAGGTGTATATATATAGACGATACAATCACGTTCATTCAGTCAGCGTTGATGTTGGTCAGGTCGCGGTGGTATGGTGGTAGTATACTGGGTTATTGTCACATAAGGGAAAAAAACAGTCTATATTCTGTATAGGAGGGAGCACAAAATCACAGGATACAGGAAGTCCACACAAGGTAAGGTGTTAGTAGTGATTTAAACATGATCCTTTTGGAATAAAAGGTGACTTAGACAAAAATGATTTAAAAATAATTATGAGCTATTATTGTTTTGTTGACAAAACTTTTATAGAAACAGTGGTCAAAATGATAAATTTTTATTTGATGAGGAAATTCAAAATAAAATTTGTATATGCCAATTAAAGTGATGGATGGGAGTCTTGGGAGTAGCAGGTTGTGTGTGATCTGCTGGTCAATTATGAACCAGGTAGGGCCTGCTGTACACACACTGACGGCTGTGATCACTAAACTCATCAAGATAAAGCAGCCGTTAGGAGAGTGTATTGTGATGTACTGGGCTGGGGGTTTTGCATATTCATTCAATGGGTGGTGATTTATGGCGGTGATGCTTTTTCATGATGAATTAGCCATCAACATGAGATATGTCTGTAGCCTGTCCAATTGTCTTCCACGAAGGCATCATGCTATTGATGTAATGTGCAGTTGACTTAGAAACAATTTGTTGTTGAGTATCTTATTGGCCTGAACAAACATTATAGAGAACTTGGCTGATATTTTGTAGAACTACAGTTACACAAAAACGATGCAAATGGAATATCACAGCCCAGGTATGGGTGCTGGGTTACCGATTAGGGACAAGTGTTATAGGGGATAGCGTATAATGGCTTTCCAATGAAAATTTCTTGTAAGTAAAAAGTGTTGCTGAGGATATCTTTGTGACACAGCAGCTAATGATGCTGACCTGTGGGTACGGTAACCAACGGCACACTCTACACTTATCTTGGTGTTCACCTATCAGGGAGAGCTGCTCTCAGCCTCCGTATCACTGTTAGTCAGACGGATCAGCTCCATGTGTTACCACTGCTCAGGAGGCTAACAAGTTTTCTTATGGAAGGAAGGTTGGTCTACCTAGACGATATTTCATCACATTTGCATGTAAGAAATACTTAATCAAGATTGAATGCGTTTTATGCATATATTAGAATATTTCAGTATTTTTGTACCAGTTTTTGTGAGGTTCAGAACAGTGCAACAGTTAGTAATGTATATCTTCATAAATGGCAGAAATGGGTTTTAAATGTTGAACTGCGATTATATCGCACTTTATCTGCCGGTAGATGTGTCAGACTTAACTATGATGAAGCCGTTTAATATATATTCTTGTTTTTATCAATGAGGTCCCACTGATGTAATTTTGGTTTGTAGGAGTAACATTAAACATATGGCAGTGATTATATATCTACATTACAGTATCTAAGGTTTTCTTACCTAATCCGCTCAGTTATGCATTAAATTATAAAAAAGTTGTTTGTCTTACATAATCCACTGTGTTATACTTTACAAAAATATGCTTCCACTCTGACGTAATCCACTGCGTTATACTTTACAATATCTACGATTTTCTTACGTAATCCACTGCGTTATACTTTACAATATCTACGATTTTCTTACGTAATCCACTGCGTTATACTTTACAAAACTATGCTTCCTCATTTCCGTAGGTAACACACAATTTTGTTTGGTATTTTTAGAATTATAACATTTTGACTTTAATGTTATATTCAATATTTGGCTTCGTTGTTTTGATGGGTTATTTAAATTTTATTGACAACACTTGAGATTTTGTGAGTTAAGGTCCATTACAGGCGATTACTGGCATTCCTGACTGTTCCCCTCTGTTTACCGTAGGGGTGATCCGTACACAAGTACCGGTTTATTACTAACATGTCCGACTGGACCTCTTTTTACCGTAGCGGTGATCCCTACGTTATTAAGCCAATACATGAATTATTGCGTTACTTGCCAGGTACTAATGAGTGTGTGTAAGGGATCACCAATGTTCGCTGACAGGTATTGTGGCACCTCTTGTTTAAATTGTATGTGTCAGGGTTCCAGACACGGTAGCCCAATTAAGTTTTTACTTCATAAAAATATGGTGCCACGAATTTAAATAAAACTTTAATTACCAAGATTGTGATCTGGAATCAGTGCAGACGCCTATAGGGCACCTTTTGTCTCTTAATATTATTGCAATTTCCTGAAATAATGTTTATATCTTTCTGTAGTTTCCCTTTAAATCTTCATATTTATAGCATATTAGTCACCAGGGTGAATCTTCAAAGTTAATTTGATGGAAATATAGAAGTGATTTATAGTCTTGAAATAGAAAAAAATGTTCCCGGAAGAAATTCATTATACTACTAAATTATGTTCATGAGCACAAGGTTCTAAATTTAGAAACATTCGTTGAAATACCACATAATTAGGGATTCATATATAATTGAGTAATATGCAGAATTTATATCCTGTATTTTGGCAATTAATTTGCCACATTGTTGAATTTTTAAGTGGGAAATTTTGTGTTACGTTTGTGAAAGGTGTTTTCGTGTTTTCGGTTTAGTACACCCATATAAATACTCGTTAGATAAGGACAGGATATATCTGTCTGCATGTACATTTATAATATATAGAGGAGTGCTCAAGTGTTGACTTAGGAAAAGATACGAGATGGAGTCCCAAGGACTAATTTCCTAATGTCTATGTATAGCCATAGGTGTGGGCGGTGCATACTGCAGGTTATTTCCTTGTTCTGGTGACATAATCGGATTATAACACGGAGACATTGCATGTAAGTGTTGGCATTTTAATGGTCAGATTCTGTTTTATAGTTTTACGTGAAGTGATGGGTGTCTGAGAGATAATTGATGTAAGTTTTGTTTAGACTTTACCAATGATGGCGGTAGTTGTTGTTTTGTACTAATGTGCAGTTATGCTAGACTGGCCCCTGTTGTTTAGAATTTTTAATTGTTTAGAAAAAAATTCAATCCAATAATTTTGATCACCTTGATGTCTGATTTTAGAGACCCTTAGTTCTAAACTAGGGGGAGATAAATTTGTAGTTAAATGCAGCTGAAAAATTCTTCATTAAAACTTCGGGGCTGGTAGCCATTCTACAGTTATACTTATACTGTAATTTTCACCTACTGAACTTTCTACATATATCCTTGAAGATGAAAGTAAAAGCTCTTGTTATAGTAGATGGTCTTGTAGCTATTCACAGAGAAAGAAAAAAACTTCAATTTTAAATGAAGTATATTAATCAGAGTTCAGAATATACTTTCGAGAGTGAGATTAGACCGTTGCTGACCACATCCTTGTCAGTGCTGAAGTCTAGCCTTAATGTAATGGTCATTGAGGAGGTCTGGCCCTGATGTGGTAAACGTGTCACCAGGGGACGAGGGACAGTGGATAGAAAACCAACTCTAACGAATTCCAATGATTGAGTAAAACTGTTTGAATGTCAGAGGCCGACACTAACGTTTTATAGCCAGTGTTGAAGTTAAGTAGATATTGACATGAATATACATATATACCTGACTGTGCCCGCCCTGAAACTGTCTACCAGGTCACGACCTTACATAGGTACTAACGCAGTAAAACCACCGGCCAGTTCATATATCTAAATACGACTGAGGATTGCACTTCATCCCAAGCCTCTCTGGTTTCCTAGTGGTATCAGATAAATGGAGGCGTGGAACCTTATATAGGGCCATTAGTGATGATTGCAGTTAATTTTCTTTCAATTAGGTAGTATATATTAAGTATATATTATGTGGTTAAGTTGTTTTATAGGCTGATGCTGTGACATTTATATTATTTAAGCTGTTGATTTAAATCACTTATGACACATATTGTATCTGATATCATATTTTGGCCTGTGACCCAGTTATTGAATATGTGTTTTTTCTGTGTTGCAGATGGAGGCTGTAAGTCGGTATGTCAACCGAGTATCCTTCTGTGGATCGGAAACCTCGCACTGTCTACATGGACTGTCCAGGAATCTTCACTGCTGACAGGGCCGCAAGAGAACGTTCCAAGTCCCGTCTCTGTGTCACTACCCATGCAGCATGCATCACGATGAAGGGCAGGGGAAGACAACTGTGGATGTTAATGTGCGTGATTTGTGTAGTGTTGTGCTTCAGTGCCTATAGTAACAGCGTGGTATGGAGAACAATGGGAGCAAACAGATTCTCCCCGAACGAAGAGTTGTCCGTCGCTGGGGCTCGCAAACTGCTGGAGGAGGAGGAATGGGGTACAGAAAAGCCGCACCCTCCCGGCACAGACAAGAGACTTCCTCAGTCTATCATATTTGGTGTTCGTAAATGTGGCACTCGGGCCATGCTGGAGTTCCTGGGACTCCACCCACAGATCAGGCCCGCTGACCATGAGGTACACTACTTTGACGATGACGTCAATTACAATATGGGGATAGACTGGTACAAAAGTCAGATGCCTTACTCCTTCCATGATCAAGTCACCATAGAGAAAAGCCCACGCTATTTCATCGCGGAAAAAGTTCCAGAAAGAATCTCAAACATGAACAGTTCAATAAAACTTATTGTTCTCCTTAGAAATCCAACTGTGAGAGTAATATCCGACTATACACAGGTGTATTACAACAAAAAAGCAAAAGGTAAAGCCCACGACAAACTAGAGAACCTGGCAATCGATTTGTCTACTGGGGAAGTAAACACTCGCTACAAGGCCGTGCGGATCAGCATTTATCACCAACACTTTGAACGGTGGCTGAAGGTGTTTCGCCCCGACCAGTTCCACATAGTGGACGGGGATAACCTCATAGTTCGTCCATGGGAGGAGATCGCACAAGTCGAGGAATTCTTGGGATTACCACACAAGATAACTCGAGAGCATTTCTACTTTAATTCGACTCGTGGATTTTATTGTATGAAGTTAGGACATGAAAAGTGTTTGGGTGCTACAAAGGGGAGGCGGCATCCCTTCACTGACCCTGTGGCTGTAGAAAAACTAAGGGCTTTCTTTAAGCCACACAATCAGATGTTGTTTCAACTGATCAACAGAACATTCGACTGGAAGTGAGGGAGAGGTTTGTGGACCTTAACAAATGGCAGCTCAATAATGTGTTATCTGTTCTCTTCAAAATGTGCCAAGTTTTTCTTAAATCATATTTCAATTTCATAAAACTTATTTATTTTTCATTCCCAAGACAAACTATTTTTCATAAAAGTCATCTTTGTGCTGAGGTAGAATGTGTGTGTTTTATACTAAATCTGGTGTGATGGTGTGAGAGACATCAGATCTGTGCGATCAACTGTTTATATATATTACAAAGCTATCACTATGCATGCAGTTAGAGAAGTCACTATAATCAGCTTTAATTATTGTAAGATGACGAAATGCTGGTTGTATGTGATTAGATACAACTTCAAAGACATCAAGTTGGAGCCTACATGTACAGGGTTGGGGCTTACATGTACAGGGTTGGAGCTTACATGTACAGGGTTGGGGCCTACATGTACAGGGTTGGGGCCTACATGTACAGGGTTGGAGCCTACATGTACAGGGGTTACTGCCTGTACCTCACTCTGCTGCAGGTATGGTAAATACCATAATAAGGTGTTACTGCCACTCCTAACTTGTAACTGGTTTATCAAATTAAGTCAAGGAAAATTTGTCTTTTGATGTGTAACCTTGGATTCACTGTGAGATGTTTTCGAAACATTAGTTTTTTTCTTGCTGTTAAAGTATAAAAGTATCATTCCATTCATTAAAAGTGCTACAGGCAAGGTAAAGTTACAGTGATGAAAAGTTCTTGTGTATCCCACAGTCAGCTACAGTTTAATAGGTATTGTTACAGCAATCAGAAATCGTACAGTCACTGTGCCGAAAATCAGAAATGTTATAGGCGTCATTACAGCAATCAGAAATCGTACAGTCACTGTGCCGAAAATCAGAAAATGTATAGATTTCATTGAAGCATTCTGAAATTGACCAGCATCATTACATACAATCTCTACAGTAATGAATACTCCAGTAATTTGCAAAGAAAATATTTTGGATGACTCTGTCTATAAACTGACAAGTTTGTATATACCATGCCACTTAAAATCTTCTTGAAATAAAATTCTTTTAATTAAAAGCAGCAAGTCAAAAATGTGTTTGATTCCTAAATATAATGTGGCACTTAAAATTGTAAGACCCATGTCTGGAGTCATGTCAATATGATGTTGAGTGCCTGTAATAGAACCTAACTCAGTGATAATTATGCATATTCTAACTTTCTACTCGAAAAATTGTAAGAGCTAAAAAAAATCATTCAAGACAGCTAATGAAACTAATAAAAAAAAAACCAGATAGATGTTCAATTAGCAGAGTTCTAGGGTCGAAAGGACCTTGTGTGACAAAGGTTGTCTAAAGTATCCTCAGAGTTCTAGGGTCGTAAGGACCTTATGTGACAAAGGCTGTCTAAAGTATCCTCAGAGTTCTAGGGTCGTAAAGACCTTGTGTGACCATGGCTGTCTAAAGTATCCTCAGAGTTCTAGGGTCGTAAGAACCGTGTGTGACAAAGGCTGTCTAAAGTATCCTCAGCAATGATCAGACCACAAAACCCTGTTAGGTTGTAGTCTGTATCACACAGATCAGTGGAATAAAAGTTAGGCGCTTATCTTCCTCGCTTTGTTAGGGTTACGATGATCTATGATTACTGTTGTAATCATTGAGAGTAAGTCCCAGTTATGTGTCTAGCTGTGGTATATTGAGACGAGTGTACTGCATCCCCTGACAGAGGTCGTTCATGCTTCAAGGTCGCTCTACGTCTAAATCTTTTAATGCTTAATATTTCACAAATGTCATAATTTTTTTTATAGTTTTCTTTCCTTGAGAGAAAACAAACAACTTTATAAAGAAATGTTGAAGTTTGTTGCTTGATTAATGTGGCATTTGATTACACTGTCAGGTTTTTGATCTGGTCGATAAATTATCTCTGTTCAATGGAAATTTTTGGGAACTGCCTTCCAAATCGTTCTAGGTTATTTTCTTCAAAAGGCTGAAGCATAGCAGCATGAAACATAAAGGAAACTATCATCCTTTAACGTCCCGTGACTAACTATATGTAATAATATATTACTTTTCTCACACACAAAAACGGAATTAAAAATACATGAGAGCATATTTGTCACATCAAGAAATCATCCATTTTACAGTCCCTCTGTTTTTACCCCTAAAATTAATTTGTTTTTTTAACAGGAAGGTGCCTTTTAAAACGAATTGAATTTTTTTTATTTTATGTAGAACAGGAAGGAAACAAACCCTGGTCGCTATCTCGATATATTTTGTCTGGGACATGACATGTTTTTCTAAGTAATGTGAATTTTGTTGTGAATTAAGTTTTAACGGTCTAGTTTGATAAGAAACAGCCTGCCACTGATAAATCGTGAATCTGTGATAGTTCAGTCAACACTGTACAAGGTGTGTGTTGGAGTTTTTATATGGAAAAGAAAATTTTGCTGTCAACTTTCTTGCTGGTGGTGAAATGTACAAGCCACTTGAACAAATAATTACAGCTGTGTACAATAAGTCAAAATCAGCCTCCGAAACTCTGACAGGCTAGGGAGTAAACACAGGAATAAAGAATCACACTTCCTAGATTCAATAGCGACATTTACTGAATATCTTTTTATATAAAGTAAAATAATGGTTTGATTCTAAAATGATGACGGTGCTTTCACACAAATGGTTGATGGTTTAACTTAGGGTTAATCGTTTCAATGGAGGTTTAATGTCAGTTAACAGATACGCAATGTTTCTTTAAAACCCATTCACCCCTGAAGACACATATGAACTCTTCCAATTCAAAGGTTGGAATAGTCCATCTCGAAATTTCGAGGGTGAACGAGTTATTAAAATAAATGTGTATTCAGTACAATTTTGATTAAAACACTAAATAAATCAGCTGTGAAAATTTGCAGAACTTAAATGATTGACATTTTCTGGTGGCATTTATTTCACCGCAGACTATTCACGCAAGCGGCATAACAAACAAGTGAGAAAAGGGATACATCATAAATGAAGACAATTTGCATACTATCCCAGTTGATGATCACAGCTTGCCACAGCAGCTAACCAGAACCTCCACTAGTTGGGAAAACTTAGACATTTTTATCTTCACAAGAATCAAAAAATCATAAAATTATAATAACAACTCCAAAGTCACGTAACATTTCATTTTGAAAAATGCAAGGCTGGTCAATTAAAGTGGTAAAATTGATGTGTTTTAACAGAACGGGGGACGTGTATTTGTTAACGTAACAGGAGATGTCTTAATGTAACATTTGCCGGAAAAAAATTGTGATGAATTCCAACGACTTGATGAATATCTCATTGGTGATCAGGTATTTGCGTTAACTTAAAATTGAATCAGCAATATCAACTGACAATGATTTCGACCTCGAGGGAGTTAATTGTCAGGAGAATTTAATTGGATGTAAATTGCATGTCAAAAAAAAGTAAAGGAATACAGGCCTAAATGTTGCGATGAGGTTTAAACTTGACTTGGATTCATGCAAATATCTTCTATAACTGTGGTTAGATTCTGTGTCGTCAGACGACACAGATCTGAACTTTCATTTTTCAAACAATTTAATTTATTCTTAAATGAGAATATTTTTTTAAAAAAAATGAAATGTTTCAATCATTAAATAAAAAATAACTCATTCTTCGAAAAATGTATTTGTAACAAACCTATTATAGAGACATTCACTCGGCCCGAGTCTGATTCCCGCTACTGTTTGGCTTCGGAGGCTGTGGTAGATGTGTAACCATGCGTGAAGCAGCCTCGGAGATACGATCTTCCTATGTGTTCAGCTAGATCTGTTGTCTGAGGTTATTGTTACCGCTACCATTATCTAATAGAACAACCCCATTATGTTTCTCCGATAGTTTTAATAGCATTAACTTATTGGCTATTATTTGGGTCAGATTAGTTTTACAGTATTAATTCTTATCTATACAATATAATAGTCTGGGACAAAAGTGATTTGTCAAGCCTATTGAATTTCCTTGTTTACAAGTTAGACAGCAAATAATGGCGAATAAAGAAGAAAAATACCTGTGCACGGACCAAATGCTAATTATAGTCCATCAGGGGACGAAGTTCATTACGTTTTTGTAAACATCGTCACTGAACATTATATTCTAGTAATTGTATTAGCAAGTTTTATCTGGTGCTTTTACGTGAGAATTGATGGGTGACGCCTTGTAAAACGGAGTTGACTTTGTTAAAATGGGTCACTAATAGTTTCTAGTTAAGCTAAGAAATGGATATTTTGTGATAGAATAAAAAAACTATGCTACAATCTTGATTCATGACTTTGAACTAAAAGCTTGTTTCACCGTTACAGCCTATCGGGTTATCAATAAATGTTACTTCAAGGTTTTACAGAAAAATTGATCCAAAGCTGACCTTAAGCTCCCCCGTTTCTGACAAGGTTGTTGTCAAATTGCAATTTATACATTTCTGGAAACAAGAAAGACAGACTTCCTTTAAAATTGTGATTTCGCTAGCTTGTAGTTGGTGCTAACCAGGTACCCCACATGCAGTGGAGTGTAAAAAGGAAGCTTTATAACAGGCATAAGAGGTTTTTAAAAGACTTTCTGAGATAGGTTTTTATTCCCTGAAACAAACAGCAAAAGTAAATTGTTAACTGATAGAAAAGCATCATTTCCAACTAGACAATGGGACGGACGGATGGTAAAGGTTAGGATCCTATCTGTCTATCAGGTGTTCAGTCCATTAGTATACAACACATTTTGTCTCTATACATTTGTCAATAACATGATGAAAGTGAAAATGCTCCATCGCTATTGTCTATAAAAAATACCTATCTTTCTTAGTGCTTTGTTTCCTCGTCATAAAAACGCTGCCAAACTAACTGTCAGCCATCGACGAAAGAACCTGTTCAATATTTAACACTTTTGATTCAACGCCTGAAGTTTTGAGAAATGTTATTGTTTAGAATCTGCTTCTAATGTCATAACTACAGTACTTGTCTGGTCATGCTCCGCCAGGAAACGGAAAGAGAAATGTCATTAAAAACGTACCAATGTCATGGTTTTGGAAAAGGATAATATGGCACTGACTGGAAGCCTCGTTTATATAGTATGGTGTGTTTCCATACCAATGGCAGGTGCTGTAAATGTTCCTAAAAAGTGAAAGAGAGAGAAAAAGGAAAAAATAGGAATAAATAAAACTCAAAAAAATAATAATCTAAAAGGAACAGAAACAAAACAGATTTTGTTCTTATAGATCTTAGAAAGTAGAAAGCACATCTTTATGGAAAGAAGGATATATGAGTTGAACTTTTAAGAAGAAATATATTAAAGTATTAATGCTAGTAGAATTTGTGTAACTTTACCGTAGCCGAATCTACCACTACCAGTCTCAGCATTCCTAACCTTGTTGACTTTACTTACAAACAACAGTATCTGTTTTAAACATTTCTGCGTCTGGGATCCTATGCCAAATAACGATCCTTTCAGATATTTCGTTTCCATGAGAGCATCAGGTTTTGCAGTTTGTTGTTTTGAAAAATAATTACAATTCAATACTCCTTGCCAAAGAAAGCCTCTATGTTCTTCGTGGCTGGTTATTGTTTTTGAAAGAGGAGTTTACTTACATTGTACATATGATATTTGTGAGTGACACAAGTTTAGATTTCAGGTGCTTCAGGCCTCCCTAGATCCACATCTCAACGAAAAGATTAAATTACGAGTGTGTGAAGATCATTACAATATGAAGAGCAGTTCTCAGTCAGACAAACATTTGCTCAGAGAGTTGAGGCATACTTGCAAGAATGATCACACGCATTCATCAAAATGTTCTTGACTGAAATTTCGTTTTGAAGAATCCCTGAAATTGAAGTTGGACTACACGTCAAGGTGTCATTAAAAGATGTATGTATGATATGTCAGATAATTACTGAATCTTTCAAATCATTGTAAATTATGATTATTGAAAATTCTTGCTTATAACAAAGTATTGCTATCATTTTCCTGCAGCAAGCAATTTTAAAACAGTTTTATAAAATAATTTTTGGTGATTAAATCCTTGTGTCCAGCGGGGTTGGTTAGGATCTTGTTTTACTGTAGTGTTAAGTGTGGCAGTTGGTCAAATCATTTAAGAACACAGAGTGATGCTACATTCTACAAAGATGTAGGTGACACCCATGTATTAGCAGGTTGCATGCACCCCTGTATTCGCTGACTGATTGATTGATAGATCGAGTGGTTTTATGTCAGCTTAATTCACTACCGAGTAGTTCGGTTATCCAGCAGACGAATGCATTGCTGGTAGTGCCCCTGTATTTGTAGGTGACTCCCCTGAATCTGCAGGTAGCACCCCCTGTATTTGTAGGTGCCCTCCCTGTATTTGCAGGTGGTGCCCCTGTATTTGTAGTAGGTGCCCCTGTATTTGCAGGTAGCACCTCTGTTTTATAGTTGGTGCCCCTGTACTGTAGGTAGCACCTCTGTTTTATAGGTGGTGCCCCTGTACTGGAGGTAACACCCCTGTTTTATAGTTGGTGCCCCTGTACTGTAGGTAACACCTCTGTTTTATAGGTGGTGCCCCTGTACTGTAGGTAACACCTCTGTTTTACAGTTGGTGCCCCTGTACTGTAGGTAACACCTATGTTTTATAGTTGGTGCCCCTGTACTGTAGGTAACACCTCTGTTTTATAGGTGGTGCCCCTGTACTGTAGGTAACACCCCTGTTTTATAGTTGGTGCCCCTGTACTGTAGGTAACACCTCTGTTTTATAGTTGGTGCCCCTGTACTGTAGGTAGCGCCTCTGTTTTATAGGTGGTGCCCCTGTACTGCAGGTAGCACCTCTGTCTTATAGTTGGTGCCCCTGTACTGTAGGTAGCGCCTCTGTTTTATAGGTGGTGCCCCTGTACTGTAGGTCGCACCTCTGTTTTATAGGTGGTGCCCCTGTATTTGCAGGTAACACCCTTGTATACATGTGGTATGAGAGGTTCGTGTGTTGTAGAGAGAGGAAGTTTACCTGGCTGGGTGTGTGTACAATATTGTTTGTGAGTTTTATAAGTTTGAGTGTAATTTGACATGAATGATTACAGTTCATTGGAGAAATGTCTGCATCAGACTTCATAACTGTAAATAAAAATATCAATATGTACTTTTAGAACAAATATTGGCTTAATGTCAGTGTCAAAGGTCGGTCACGGAGGAGACAGCTACTTATAAACCCAATGACGTTAAGATTTAGTCAGAAATTTATGCGTTTTCTGTCTGCCTCACTTTAACCTGGGGGAACATGTGTTTTTTATGCAGATGCGTTTCTACATCAGCTATCGGCATCTTGATTAGTGCATAGATATTGGTGTATTTTCATTTCATGACATACTCAAATCATTTTTAACCTCGATTAAGATCTCATGCTAAATGAGATGCTTTACACAGCTAGGAATTGACAGGGACCACGGATGAAATTTCTTACACAGGAATTGAAAGGGACCACAGATGAAATTTCGTACAAAAGTCTAGTCTAATTCTAAACTATCTCTTAGTACAACAAAATGGGGAAAAAAATTATTTTGAGGTGGATAACAGACATGACTAATGATATTTTTGGCTGGATTGCTGTAATGAAATTCTAGCCTACAATCTATCAGTGAAGGAGATGTGATATATACTTGAGTTCGTGATAGAACCCATATGTTCAGGGTCAGGTGATGTACATGTTTTGCAATGTTTTCACTGTTTTATAATTTGGTTTTTAATTTGAAATGGAGGATCCTTGGATTCCTTGCACACAGAGTGACAGCTGATCGGACACACCCCTGGGTAAAATACCACATGTACATCCAAATCTCTGTTACCATGGTGACAGGCATAGCAATACAGTATTTATGGGTTGGTGTTTGTAAATAATATCCTTATCTCTACAAATTTCAACATGGATTTTCATTTTTTTGCTTTTCTTTTTTTTATTTTTTACATTTCCTTATGTTTTTAAAAAGTTACCATATTCTGTCAATGGAATTGGTAAATGGACTTTTTTGTCAATTTTGGGTGTATTTGGCGCTAATTAGACTGTATATCTTCATCTAATGGCCTTGTTAGAGCTAGATAGGTTTTTTGGACATTAAGTAATCAAGGTTGTTTTTGTTGCTGAAATCTCATCAAACTTGATCATTTTTATGTGCGATGTACCGTTGGCAACACACCATTAGCCTAACCTATTGACTAAAGTGTGCTATGATTTAGAATAAAAAACCAAATGTCCGAAAGAATGGTTATTGTAAACTGAAATTGAGCTGTTACACAAAGAGTCGAGCAAAATCACTGACTGTACAATTAATGGGATTCCTACAAAACACATCTGTATATCCCTTTATTCTCCTGGACGCATAGAATAATGGTGAAACACTGGAGAAGAAAGAAATTTGAATTCCACTGATTAATTTGGTCATAAATGAGTCTGTGTTAGCCGGTTATTAATAAATCTTAAGTTTGCTTGACCGTTTAAGTCCAGAATAATGAATATGTCTCACTGGTTGTGAATGTGTGCTAGATATGTAAATAAATTCACCATTTTGCATGTAGATATAAGCGATGAGAGGCGGTGAAGTAGAGGATTTTAAGTGCTTGTTGTTACCTGATGAGACGAGAAGTGCGCACTGTGTGTATGGAAAACCTGTCCATTGTTATGTATGTATATGAAATGTACGGCGAAATGTACAACGTCCATCAAGCGGATGTCATTCTACTGCAATAAACGACTGAAATCAGCATATCTGTGAAGTGTTATTATTGATTGACATAAATTACGGGGTGAAAACACAACAGGCCTTTTCGACTCCCATATTTACACCTTCGTGGGTCACAAGGTACGAGAATCCTGATGATTGTCACACTTGCTCACAGGTAAAAGTGACAATTTATGGACGGAAATCACCTTACCATCATGAATATGGTATTAACATTAAAATGCTGTGATCTGCAGTTCGGGTCACCCTGTGACACAAGAAACAGCTGAATTAAACACCAGGCGCGAATCTATTTCATATAAACTGTTTGTAGCGAGACATGTTTTAAATTATGTATAAAACAGGAAAGGAAATGACAAAAGAAATAATGAAAAATATCTCTTGTGAACACAGGATAGATGTTGTTTTTAGGAGAAGCTGGAAGTAAGAATATTAAAAAGAAAATCACAGAAGACTGCTAAAAACAGAAACCTATGACATAATTATCATCGTTATGTAGAAAAAGACAATATGGTTGTACACATACTGGAAAAATCATCTCAGGCCAATTAGTAGTAATTGTAGGTAGACTTACGAGTAATAAGCATAGTATTTGGACTCTACATTAATTGACATATTATGTATAATTTAGTGCTATTAGCATAGTGTTTAACAAGGGAGCAATTAGTGAAATAAATAGACTATAGAGTAATTAATTAACAGAGTAAATCATTTACTATGAAGTAATTAAATTCTTTGACTATGTTAAGCTTAATTATATTACTTAGCCATGTATGTTAAGGTGCCGCGGTGGCCAAGTGGTTAAGGCTTCTGACATTCTGCTAGCCTACCACTAGCCCTCCACCACTGGGTCCTGGGTTCGAAACCTACGTGGAGCAGTCGTCAGGTACTGACTGTAGGTCGGTGGTTTTTATCCTGGCACGTCCTTAAACACAAACAAACCATGTATGTTACTTTTAAACCATAAGGTCACTAGCGTAGTGTGTGTTGAGTTCGGAGAAATTAGCATAAGGTTGTATGCCATAGTGTAATAGGCATGGAATGTAGATTATAAAGAAATTAGTATTGTCGGAGAAAAGAGAGTAATTTCTGTGGGTTAAAAGAATACAGTCTGGAGCAAAAACATTCATTTCAGTATTGCAAGGGGACAGAGTGGCAACAATGACAATAATTTAATGTTAAGATAAATACACATATCCAATAAGCTTCAGGAACTATATCCACATTATAACATTTGTAAAAAAAAAAGTGAAGTTTAAAACATTGAAAGTTTTGAAAAGAGAGATTCGTAGAATACAATTCAAATGATTTTTGTTCCCTCTACTTTCAACTTAAAACAAGAAATAGGGAAACAAAAGGTAAAGAGTCGGATGGTGCCCATCCTTTAGTGAAAACCGTTGCTGTGTAAGGTCGTGTTTGATGGCAGATGTTTGCCCTTTCCATATCCAATGTTTCCTTGGCAGCAGCAGAGTCAAATCTAAAGTCCTCTCAAGGTAGATTAACGACACTTGTCAGACACTACAGGGACAGCTTTATATCCATTACAACAGAGAGACACGCTGTAGTTCCGCAAACAAGCACACGTTAATCTGGTGAACATCAATGTACGGTCTCACCAAAACTTCTAGTGTAAATCAAAGTCTACTGACATCTCAACATCTAGTGTAAATCAAAGGCTACTGACATCTCAACATCAAGTGTAAATCAAAGTCTACTGACATATCAACATCTAGTGTAAGTCAAAGTCTACTGACATCTCAACATCTAGTGTAAATTAAAGTCTAATAACATCTCAACATCTAGTGTAAATCAAAGTCTACTAACATCTCAACATCAAGTATAAATCAAAGTCTACTGATATAACAATCTCATCTCAACATCTAGGGTAAATCAAAGTCTACTGACATCTCAACATCTAGTGTTAATCAAAGTCTGCTGACATCTCAACTTCAAGTGTAAATCAAAGTCTACTGACATCTCAACATCAAGTATAAATCAAAGTCTACTGACATCTCAACATCTAGTATAAATCAAAATCTACTGACATCTCAACATCTAGTGTAAATCAAAGGCTACTGACATCTCAACATCAAGTGTAAATCAAAGTCTACTAACATCTCAACATGAAGTTTAAATCAAAGTCTACTGATATAACAATCTCATCTCAACATCTAGTGTAAATCAATAAATGATGTAACATCACAACATCTAGTGTAAATCAAAGTCTACTGACATAACAATCTCAACATCTAGTGTAAACACCTCAACTTCTAGTTTAAATCAAAGTCTACTGACATCTCAACATCTAGTATAAATCAAAGTCTACTGACATATCAACATCTAGTGTAAATCAAAGTCTACTGACATAACAATCTCATCTCAACATCTAGTGTAAATCAATAAATGATGTAACATCACAACATCTAGTGTAAATCAAAGTCTACTGACATAACAATCTCAACATCTAGTATAAATCAAAGTCCACTGACATCTCAACATCTAGTGTAAATCAAAGTCTACTAACATCACAACATCTAGTGTAAATCAAAGTCTACTGACATAACAATCTCAACATCGAGTGTAAACACCTCAACTTCTAGTGTAAATCAAAGTCTACTGACATCTCAACTTCTAGTGTAAATCAAAGTCTACTGCCATCTCAACATCTAGTGTAAATCAAAGTCTACTAACATCACAATATCTAGTGTAAATCAAAGTCTACTGACATCTCAACATCTAGTATAAATCAAAGTCTACTGACATATCAACATCTAGTGTAAATCAAAGTCTACTGACATATCAACATCAAGTGTAAAGCAAAGTCTCATCTCAACATCTAGTGTAAATCAAAGTCTACTAACATCTCAACATCAAGTATAAATCAAAGTCTACTGACATCTCAACATCTAGTATAAATCAAAATCTACTGACATCTCAACATCTAGTGTAAATCAAAGGCTACTGACATCTCAACATCAAGTGTAAATCAAAGTCTACTAACATCTCAACATCAAGTATAAATCAAAGTCTACTGATATAACAATCTCATCTCAACATATAGTGTAAATCAAAGTCTACTGACATCTCAACATCAAGTGTAAATCAAAGTCTCATTTCAACATCTAGTGTAAATCAAAGTCTACTGACATCTCAACATCTAGTGTAAATCAAAGTCTACTGACATCTCAACACCTAGTGTAAATCAAAGTCTACTAACATCACAACATCTAGTGTAAATCAAACTCTACTGACATCTCAACATTTAGTGTAAATCAAACTCTACTGACATCTCAACATCTAGTGTAAATCAAAGTCTACTGACATAACAATCTCAACATCTAGTATAAATCAAAGTCCACTGACATCTCAACATCTAGTGTAAATCAAAGTGCACTGACATCTCAACATCTAGTGTAAATCAAAGTCTACTGACATGACAACATCTAGTGTAAATCAAAGTCTACTGACATATCAACATCAAGTGTAAAGCAAAGTCTCATCTCAACATCTAGTGTAAATCAAAGTCTACTGACATCACAACATCTAGTGTAAATCAAAGTCTACTGACATCTCAACATCAAGTGTAAATCAAAGTCTACTGACATCTCAACATCAAGTGTAAATCAAAGTCTACTGACATCTCAACATCAAGTGTAATCAAAGTCTACTGACATCTCAACATCTAGTGTAAATCAAAGTCTGCTGACATAACAATCTCATCTCAACATCTAGTGTAAATCAATAAATGATGTATCACCATTTTAATTTATCTCAACGTGTTGAAACCTATCTTTGTATTTTGTAATAAGCTTGTCAGCCTCTATACCTGATGTTAGACCATAGATTATACCCCAACAAAATAAATGTGACAATGTTGCTGGAGAGAAAAATTAAAATGTAAATGAATGGCATATTAGCATAAATGGGTCGGGAAGTGATAGGAATCTACCGTGTTTATTATGTGAAAAATTCATGGAGAAATTATTCTAGACTTGTCTTTGTCATCTAAGAACAAAACCAGCACGCGTTACCATACCGAGCAACACATTCAATGACAATAGAAATAAAAAAGAAAAAAACATAATCACCATGTGGTCCATTATTCATTTTAGGAACATGTCTTTTCAGCTGTCATGACAACGAATCAACAGGACTGCTGTAAAACTCATCAAGCACTTCCTGTGTTAGCATTTTCTGATAGAATCCTGCTAATGTAACAGTTTGAGAAAAAGGAAGAACCGTAATCTTCACTCGCCCTCCTATGTTAAGTATGTTTACCCGCCTACCAGCTATACGTAGAGGTTTATAAACCCAGGTGTAGTTGTTGTTCTCCCGTGATCTGTATTGATACATAAAACTACTACGTGATTGACACACAGCTCAGCATATAGAACCTTTTTACAACTCAAATCTCTTCAATGTCCATCAAAGTCACGATCCCGTCAAGCTCACATTTCTAAAGAAGTTAATTCTGCATCAAATTGACATGATATTGTCTAGGCTTGCCCCTGACCCTAGAATTATTTAGCGAAAAAAAATAAACTCTTATAATTTTGATAACATGGATGTCGCAGATCCTAAGTTCTTAAACTAGGGGGAGATAAGCTAGTAGTAAAATGCAGCTCGTAACTTCTTCATATAAATTTATTTGCTGGTAGATACATAGCCAACCTAGAAATTATCTACAAGTATGATTTTACAATATTAAGAGAGAAAAAAATATGAAATTATATTTAGAATTCAACCATTCCTAAATATAAGAAAAACTCCCACAATCAAATTAGCCAAGGAAACAGAAATCATTTCTACAATTTCCTAGATATCCATCAAAAATATTTTCTGTGATAAGTTGCTGATGTAATATTTATTAACAGGAATCTAAGGAACACAAACAGTGTTTATTGTTAGAGGATTAGTACTGCTACCCTGATAACCCAGTACCAAGAGTTGGTTATCAGCTATTTACAGTTTACAGAGTACAGATACAGAATACTGGCATTCCAAGCTTGCTAAGAGGCCTTGTGGCTACGACTCAGCACATGTAACTTGTTAATGACATCACATAATTGGTACATAAACCTATACAGTCTCTGTTTACATAATGACCGTTCCTCTGTCTACTTACAGTATGTGTGGAGCCTCAGTGATTCCCACTATCACACCATTATACCTCTGTCTACATACAGTATGTGTGGAGCCCCAGTGATTCCCACTATCACACACTTATACCTCTGTCTACATACAGTATCTATGGAGCCTCAGTGATTCCCACTATCACACCCTTATACCTCTGTCTACATACAGTATGGGTGGAGCCTCAGTGATTCCCACTATCACACAATTATACCTCTGTCTACATACAGTATGCGTGGAGCCTCAGTGATTCCCACTATCACACTCTTATATCTCTGTCTACATACAGTATGTGTGGAGACTCAGTGATTCCCACTATCACACCATTATGCCTCTGTCTACATACAGTATCTATGGAGCCTCAGTGATTCCCACTATCACACACTTATACCTCTGTCTACATAAAGTATGTGTGGAGCCTCAGTAATTCCCACTATCACAGTATGTGGAGCCTCAGTGATTCCCACTATCACACACTTATACCTCTGTCTCTGAACGGTAATTAGTGGAAAATAGACTTGTGTCTAAAATTCTCCTCTAGCTGTTAATTAAACAAGTCTAGTATGGTAAATCTACTCAATTGTTTTCTCAACTGTAGTTTTTTTGTACTTCAGATTATATATGTAATGTTACATACTTCATTAAAAGTTCCATACAACCTCAAAGTTTAAATAGAAACAAATCTACAGAAACTGACTTGATCTATTCATTGGAAAAGGTTCTTGACATCAAATTAGATATCATTTTGAAGTACCCCTGAGGTAGATAATTAGTAAGTAAAAAGTAGATTAAAACCAGCAATAATTGGATAAATTAACTTCTTACGTGTCGATATGTAAACTGAAATGAAGTTATGTTCCATTTTCTCTCCCTTAGAGCCAGGGGAGGGGAGGTTGCTAACAAAAAAAATCCAGTCATGAATTTAAACATGCTATTGGTTGAATCGAATTATATAACTTCTGTTTTGGCAACTCGAGATAATTAAAACCACCGAGAGGTCATTTTGAACTAAGATAAATTCCAAGTACCAATAAAACAAAAAAAGATATGGGATAATTTTCCACAACAAAGATTTTTAAACGTCAAAGAAGCGCTCGCTGATGGTACCGTGATCACAGGATTACTTAAATTTAGAGTGTCTCCATTTCGTAAATACCTGTTCACAATACTTTAGAGCCTTTCACTTGGAGCAAAGACTAGTGTACGCTAATTGGTATATGCGGTTAAAATAATACTAAGTTATCGTTTTCAAACAGCAGGTTTTTATTTATTTTTATTTTTTGGGGAAAATTATAGAGAATTTTAAAGCATTATAAATTTAATGGAAAATAGTTTAAAGTGGGCTATGTGGGGGTATTCTTATTAACTTTCCTCATAATATAAAAGGATTTAAACAGCTCTGCGACAGCCAAATTGTAGTGTAGTTTGTGGTAATTACACAGTTCTGGGGGCAGACACATAATGACGTCAGTCCGTAAGAATTCTGTAATAGTTTCTAATAGGGCACTCAATATTTGAAACAGACCTCATGGTTGGTACATTATTTTCATAAGACAATAGCGGTGACATACTGGTACTATCATTATATGTATATTTCCAGCGACATTCTTACAAAGCTCCATGCAGAAAGGGGAGAATGCGCCATATATTTGCACTGAATGCCTTTTCTGAACGAGATATTGATCTGCCGGTAAACTGAGATAGGAGTTAACATTTTATGAACGTCCATTTCATGCCTTTTTTTTCACATAAAATTTATGAATATAAAAAGAATACGGAAAACGTTCAGTTTCCTGTTATAAATTTGACATAGATGTCTGCAGTCAGTCAACAAGGCAGGCTGGTAGGCACAGGATATTGGATGTAGTGGAAACATCATACATAAATGATAGATCCTGCTGACTTTGAGAGATATACATGTATTATTGTTATTAAGCACAATAAAAGGTGGTTAATATTGTCAGTTTTTGTTAAAAAAAAGGACACTATATCTGTTCAGGTACATTGTAATTTTAAAATGGCTACTTCAGATAAAAAAGACTTGGTTAATTTTTTTGAAATATGAAATAAAATACGGTCGTAACAGCTCATGTGACCCCTAATATTAACCACTGTAAATGTTTGATCCCACGGTAGTTACACTATGGTTATGAGACCGCATGCTGGTACATAGATGAAGTCAAATAACAAGTTACGGAGAGATAGAATATGTATATCTGTGATAGATAACCAGGTTTGGAGAGATAGAATATGTATATCTGTGATAGATAACCAGGTTTGAGGAATGTATTGATATGTGATTTGAGCGACCCTGTCAGCAAACACTGTCATGCACATACTTGTGTTCAAATTGTTTAAACTGACACCAACCAATAGGTCCGTTTCTGAGAGTCATTTATGGATTCAAATACAAAAATCCAGTCAAAGGGAAATAACTTGTACAGAGATTTAGATAGTGAGGTAAACTTTAAATTAACTCATTCACCCCTACATTTTTAAAATGGACTTGCCCAGTCTTTGATTTGGTAAGGTTCATGTATGTGACTTTAGGGATGAACAGGTTAATATGAGCTTAATGTAAAGGGTACCATCAAGTTGAAATATATTACAGTGTATTTTCATTGACTTTTTTAGGAAATATTTAAGTCCTTTTCTACCAAAATATTCCCTAGAAATCACATGTTGCTATCCATTTTCAGGAACTATTGTTGTTCAAAATTTGTGAAATTTGAAAATTTAAAAAAAAGGAAATTTGCGGGAGTCAAACTCGAGAACCTTTCACTGCCTATCCTACCCTTTATCAGTGTCACTAACTAGGGACTGTAAATCCACAGTATCAGAATGTAAGTCCGTCTAAAGTGGAAAAACACAATGTGAATAATTTGACAAGGGAAGCCATTCTAATATATTTACATTTGCGCTGCAACCCACTATGAACATTACCAGCAGAAATGCCTTTGAGTATGAAAGCGAAAAATCTTGTGACATAACACTTAGTTTTCTCATGACGTCTTGGATTAACCTTGTTCAATGAGAGTCTTGTCGCATCGCTTAGCTTCGCTTCGGATAACATGGAGAATGCCCCTGTGTCAAACGCTCAAATGACTACAGTTAATTAAAAAAATTAATTTAAAAAAACGCCGTTCAGTCCCTACACAGAAAAAAACTCCTTTTGATTGCTTTGTCAGGAAAATACAAAAGTCGAAAAAACTAGTTCTAAATAGAAATCTGCTTTGTGATTAGAAATGATACCAGTGGTGCTCTCCACCTTAAATCAAAATGTCAGAGGGAAAGTCTTCGTTTACCTTTGAAGTTTTACTAGTGTTATGGTATTTTCTGTCTTTACTTGATCACTCAAAATTCTGACAGATGCAGTTTCCGCATTAAACTTCAGTAATTAGGAAAATATTTAAGTCCAAACTTTAGTTAACTCTGATACTTTTATTAACCTTCTTTTTAATTTGTGTATATGTGTTAACTAAAAGACATGGCCATGGAAGGGAGTGTAAAATGTCTCAAAGGAAACAAAAAAATAAAATAAAACAAGAACATGAGAAACATATATTATCTTATGTACTCTTTTTCCCTGATGTTTTATAATGTTTTGTGTAATAATATTCCCTTATGTAATGCTGTGATTTGTTTGTGCTTACAGGAGGTGGCTCCTGAAAAGAAGGTGATGACAGTCTACTATAAACCTGTTCCCCAGGATGATGCCTCTCCCCCAGTCCTACCCAACTCTACCTCAAGCTGCCTCAGGTTTTCGCGCTTCAGATTGGTTACGTTCTTAGTGGTGGCAGCGTTGGCAATTGTGTTTGTGACACTATCTTGCCTAAATGGAGGCTGGGACACAAGGGGTAGTCTGTGCCTCACGCCCACGGACCCGGTACTGTTATACAATCAGATCACTACCCACAGTCCCTTGGCGCGGCAGGTCCTCCCCCACTGTATCATCATCGGGGTGAGGAAGGCCGGCACCAGGGCAGTTCTTCAGTACCTTCAGCTCCACCCTGACGTTGCTGTCGCCGGGTACGAAGTGCATTTCTTTGATGATAATGTCAATTACAGTCAAGGGTTAAACTTCTATCAGAGACAGATGCCGTACTCTCTAAAACATCAACTTACTATTGAAAAGACACCGGCCTATTTTCATACCTTGAAAGTTCCGGAGAGAATTGCCAAAATGAACAGCTCCATCAAGTTGATAGTAGTGGTGAGAGAGCCGGTACAGAGGCTGATATCAAGTTATGTACAACTTGCAGCGAAAAGAGACCATTTCCCAACATTTGAGGAAAAAGTGATTGATTCTGACACGGATGAGGTGAATGAAAACTTTAAACCGGTAAAACGCTCGCTGTATTATATTTTCATGAATAGATGGCTGAAGCACTTCCGACTCGACCAGATTCACGTTGTGGATGGGGACTTACTGATTCGGAAACCGTTTCAGGAAATGTTTCGTGTGGAAACATTTCTTGGTTTGGAGCATAAAATATCAAAAGACACATTTACCTTCAATCGAACTAAAGGCTTCTTTTGTCTTAAACTTGACGATGAACTAGGGAAGAGGACCAAGTGTCTGTCGAAGAGCAAGGGACGAAGGCATCCGGAAGTCGACCCAAATGTCCTCCGTCAACTGCGCGACTATTACAGATCTGCCAATGACTTGTTCTTTCAGCAAGTTCATCGGCGATTCCGATGGTCGTAGCAGAGTCACGCTACCAATATAGATTTATACCCAATATTATTTATTCCTTATGATGTTATTGGTACTGTAGTTTTAAGTGACAATTTTCAGTTCTCAGTCACGGTGAACGCCCCCTTATTATTATTGTATTATTACCATGCAACTTGTATTATTTTTCTCAGACCCGAAATCAATATATTTTTTTCTGCCAAGTGTTGTTTGTCGAATTATAAATTTAGGTAAAGCCAAATTTATATTCCCTTTTAATATGAAGTATATATTTGTGTAAGTTTAAGGGTTTTATGTCAGGACAGGGTTGTTTATCCTTCCTCCTTTGTTTTAAAAGGAAAGGCGATATTTATTTTGAATTAGTCTACATATTGACTCATTCACCCCTGTGGACACATTTAAACTCTTCCTATTCAAAGGTTGGAATAGTTCATTGTGAAACTTCAGGGGCGAATGAGTTAAACACAAGTCATCATTGATTATGTTTCTATTTCATATGGCGTGTTTACCTTTTTTGTATAAAATAAAATGTCAATGAATGCAAGGTGTTGGAAAAACAATTTGTAGAATGATAACGATACTAATGTTTTATACATATCCAGGCTTTACCCCAGAATTTGTTAGTTGACTAACATTAGATAAAGAACCACTGAAGTACAGGAACAAGTTTGGTTCAGATATGACTTAATTGCCTTGTTTGTATTTTTGCACTCCTAGAGATTTTGCATGCCTTGATAACATAAAACAGGTTCTTTGTATGCAGTGAAACCTTTATAAAATTATAAAATGCCCCTTGTTTATTGCTATACAGTAAAACTTCGATATAATGCCCCTTGTTTCATAAGCCACCTCCCTTACTGCCAAAATAATTCAGTGTCCCCTTTTTTCTCCACCTAATCAATCTTTTTATGTTTCTCCCTTCATGTAGCTCCAAACCCTTTATAATGCCAAGGCTTCGCTTGAAAAATGGTGGCAGTATATATAACAAGGTTTTACTGTTTATGTACTTGTACATTTTGTTGAAGATTTTTTTGAATTTTTCCATGTAAATATATATACGTGTTACCCTTGCTCAAGTTAACTATACAAACAAGTTCATGCCATTTTAGATGTAAATTACATGTAGTAAATCATGCAGTATCATATTGTTTTTGTAAATGTTATCCCAAGCACAACATCGATTCACTGATGCAGCTTAGTTGTAGATGTAACAAGTCTTATTTTATTTATATCACGTATTACTACCCGTTACTGCTGTAAAATATTTTAATGGCTAATGTACAAGCAACGTAACAGGAAATATCTTAAAAGAGGATGGATTTCAGAGTTTTAATGTTGATGGTTATAGAATTGAAAACTATTGTGTCTCTGTGGAATAATTTTTAAACATTACATCCTTTAACTGCCCATCATAATATAAAAAGCTGTTTGGGTTAATATGCAATAGTAAGAATTGATCATGTTGAGAACCAAGTAAATGAAGAAAGCAGCTTTGTCAGCAAGAACGAACTGTTGTTGAAATTGTTTCGGCTGCTGGAATTTACCGACTTAGTCATATTTGTCTGATGAGATTATTGCTTGTGGTTTTTATGCCCTAAAAATATAAAATATATTTGTTGATAATAATTACCAATAGTTGTGCCATATTTAGTTGTAAAATGTCATCTCATAGTAATTTCCACAAAATTTGATTCATAAGATACAGTTAACTGTGGTGAAGGACCACTCAACTTGTAAGATAAAATCAAAATACAAAAAAAAAAAAAAAAAATATCAACCGACTTTGGAACAGTTCAAAATAGAACAAAGCCAAATGAGATGTAGACTACCAGGTTCTCCGTAATTTTATAAAGTTTAGTTATTTTCTGCCAAAGCTTAAATGAATGAATATTACATTTAAAGGATAGAAAAAACAAAGTATTCTCGCTTTGTGAAAGCAGACATCTTTCATCCGGTATCTAAAACATGGTTTGCATTCTGTGTAAGCCACATTTTTAACCAATCAAACACTAAACCACACTGGACTAACACTCAGTCTGCACTGTATGACTCAAAGAACATTGACGGAAATCTTAACTTCTAGAAGAGTTAACAGTTCTTTAAAAATAAATCTAAAAGAGGAAGCTAAGAAAATCAACTCTGTTCACCCGATTTCTATACAGTGTGGTCTGTATCAAATGTGAGATCTGTATCACTAGGACTCTTCAGTAGGAGATCTGTATCAATAGTACTCTTTAATATAGTCTCAGTCAATCAGACTCTCAAAGCTTGACTTCTCTTGTTGGAATACCCACAAAACATTTGCCCTGATAATCTCAAATATTAAAGACCGTTCTGAAAGCCTCACCTCTTGCCTGCTACAGTGACAGAAATTTTAGGGTAAAAATATCTGAAATGGTTACCATAACAACACTTTAAAAACTATGGATACCAATGAAACCCTTTACCAGTCCACCTTTACTTTGTATTTTGATAAGTACATTCATAACTTTCCATTTTAAGATGGATAACAACTAAGGAAATGTGTTTGATTCCCATTATTATTTACTACATTTTAAAAGAAAAACCAGCAAAACGAAGTAGCAGCACTGCCTATTGGTATGCTTTCTGTGACCAATTTAACCAGATTCAATGTTTTTTTCAAAATCTTTCATAGTCAATAATAGACTGGGTATAAGAGATATTTCACTGCGAGATATGTATCACTGAGTAAGATCAATATCACCAAAGCTCTTTATTGTAAGATCTCTTTCACCAGGGCTTTTTATTGTCAGATCTGTATCACTAGTGCTCTTCACTACAAGATTTGTATCACAGAATTGCTCATCAGTCATCGTCAGTGAAGTCTGTATCACCAGAGCTCTTCCATTAGGTTTTTTATCACATAGGCTCTGTACATCCCTTTATTATTTATTAATAAGTTAAATGCACATTTATTGAAAGGTAAAATAAGAAATAGCTCTGTATTAACGAGGTAATTATTTTATGTATAAAGTTACTAATTATTGAACAGTCGAGGCTACTGACTATCAAATAATATTTGAAATCCTGCATATATAAAGTTTCTTTGTCCTGTAGTGGATTGTATAATAACTTACTGATTTTCCTGATAAAAAAAAAAAAAAACTTTTAACAGTAAAAAGAAAAAAAACTTTTTTTCTGCTTTGATAAATAATGATGAATCACTTTTTTTTCACAGTAAACCAACCAATCAGAAAGCATTTAACAAAAAAAATACATTTTCGATCGTTACATCACAATAGCCTTTACGTTTCCTTATTGTGACGTTGCATTACAGCAACCGTTGCACCAACTGTTTTTGGCAGGAGATCTAGACAGACAATCAATTTTTTTTAAGAAAAATATCACAAACAGAATATTCTTGGCCTCTGTTGATGTATAGAATAATTTCACTCATGCTATAAAATTGTGCAAAATATCAAATTACCATCCCATGAGAAATGTAATAGTTGATGTCATCAAGAAATCAATTATATTCCCTATGAATATGCAGTTTAGGAAGAAAAAAAATATGTTTTGTAGATTATATATGTATGGGTAATTGCCTGGAAATATCTTTGTCAAATTTAAGTGGAATGCTTGACTTCACCCTAATGTGAACTGCTAATTGTAGGTATATCCAAGACTTTGATTCATGCAAGCATGGTGTACACCACAAATATGTAATCTATACGACAACAAGGCACCATCAATATATAAATGAGGTATGCAGTGGCGCCACCTATAATTAAACGCTCTGGCGTGTACAAATCTCTGGCCATATTTGAATATCTACAAGTTTACCGTGATGGCCAGCTGCCAGATTCAGACTGGGGCGAACCAATAGATTATAACTGCTGTATAAGTACAAGAGTCTGGTTAATTTAGCCAAATGGCCCTTCATTCATCAGCAGCAGCATCAGGTCACTAGCAGATACATGGCCAGTTTTGCTGTATCTTCCTAAGTTTGCTTGGTCAGTAAGAATAAAGGATTATTTTAAGGATAGCAAGCAAGGGTCAGATATTCTAAGTATAGCAAGCAAGGGTCAGATATTCTAAGTATAGCAAGCAAGGGTCAAATATTTAAGTATAAAAAGGAAGGGTAAAAAATAATTGCAAACTGCATCATGGATTTGGAGAAAGTGGTGCCTGGTCAGGTTCTGCAGAAAGCTTTGTTAGTGGAAATATTCTACGAACCCGATATATTTCAGCAAAAAAAATTGAAGTACAAAACAAAAAATTCATCCAAAATTTCACGATTGGTGGAAATGTACACAGGAGCAGAAATTTCAAAAAGTGTTGAGGGTGTGAGTTGGGTCCCGGTAGGGGGTTGTTTATGCAGATAAATTGAAATGTGATGGACAGAGGGTCCACATTTATTTTGGATAACCTTATGTTACCTCTTCTGATTAAATACTGATGGAAATATGTACATGCTGATGAAAATGTCTGACAAGTAACATGACATTACCAATAGATATGAGAAGAATTCGCAATTTTGATACGACCTCTATGAAATATTAATGGATGTAGATCATGAAAGTCTCATTTCAAGTGAGGTCTGTTTACTTAGGTCTGACATTTCTACAGCTTCGCGTATGTTACTAAGGAAATCCTACCCGCTATTAATCTTTATACTGATCAATACAGCATCAATGTCACCATACAGTTATGTATGGTATCGGTTTTCTATACTCAACAGAAATGTCAAACATGGCCTGAATATTGTTATTCCGTGTACATGTACTAACAAAATGATATTTTACAAAAAATTACAATGTTTTTGTCAGGTTACATGACTGAAAAAATTAGGGAAGTAGGTCAGTGGTGATTTTTTTTTTGGCGAGGGGGGGTTGTCTATTTTTAAGAAATTAAAAAATCACCAAACAGTTTCCAGACCAGTTGTATTTTTTTATGTTTTAACGTCTTTTAAATAATGATAGGGGATTTGAATTCTGTTTTAATACCTGCCCATGAAATTGAGAGGTGTCAGAAAGACACCTCCGGTTTTTCGGCGCGTTCAAATTAATGTGACGTTGAAGAGTATTTGAGTGCGATAAAATTGTTAGGGTCGGAGGTAGAAACTTTACATTTGTATTTTTTCATTATTACATTAGTACAGAGGCCACATGTTGTTTTAGTGCTCGCTAAACTCATCAATGGTGCTTGGTTAAACTTGTTATAAATGTGATTTTTTTAAAGTAAAAACAAAATGTCAAATTTGCTGATAGGTGGTATTTGAGTGTAGTGTATCCGGCAAGCTATTTTTTTGTTAAATGACTATTCTGAGCACTTTTTATGACAAGCATCTCTTTTCTGTTATTTAGTTAGAGTTGACATCACCATAGCAACAGAAAATGCTTTTCAAGTATTGGATGACGAAACAATGCATCAGGCAAGTTA